GCCCATGCCAGCAGCTTTATCCCTCGGTGACAGGGCCAAGCACTTTACCCAGTCCCTGCACAAGGCTCAGCCACCCCACCCTGCAGGAACCCAGCCTGTCCCCTTCCGGAGGCCCCCTCCTGGGGCCACCCTCTCCCAGGAGCAAGTGTGGCTACCAGCCATTCCCACAGACACAAGGAATCCATGACCTAGGCTGAGGTCAGCCCAGCTCTCCCATTAACAGAGGACAGCAAATGGCTAGTCTTGGTCAAGGAGGAAGTGGGTGGAGCTGTGAGCAACACCCACTAAGCTTCCCCAGCCAGGCCTGGAGGGCCCTGACTCAGTGTCAGATAAATATTGACGCGGTTGGTTATCTGTTTTGTGACACAAGCATCCTACTTAAACTCCGAGTGCTGAGGCCCCGCCTCACGAACAAACCCGGGATAAAGAGCCAGGCCGCCTCCACACCAAGCCTCCTTTGTCCCAGAGACCGTCGTTCCAGTACCTGACCATCTGAGCCATTTGCTTTTCCTCTTCCCGTGCTTTAAGTTCCGGTTCTTAGGTTTTCAATTCGCCAATGAAGAGTGGGCCCGCAAAACCCCAGGCCCCCTCCTCGCCCCCGATAAAAGCAGAACCCCAGGCACAAGCTCACGCGTGGGCTGCCTCTCTCTTCCGCCCCCTCGACCTCATCGTGTGGCTGCAGGTGCACTAAGTTCCAGATCCCACTAGCGGTAAGTTTCAAAGTTTCCTGATGGTTGTTGCTGAAGGTCGTCTTGCAATCCTAAGAGCCACAGGGCCGCCTCAGCCCCTGGTTATTGGGAGGCTGAGACACACAGGAAACACCAGGCCCCCATGGGCAGCAGCTCCACCTGGGCTAGAAGGGCCTCCACACAGCATGTATCAGGGTGGCTGGGAGGCTGCCGACTCACACAGGGTCCCGGGACAGCAGGGAGGCTGAGGGAAGGAGACATACCCCATAGCAGACGGTCCCATTCCTACTTCAGGCTGGCTCTCAAATTCCCACGGAAGCTGAGCAAGGTGCTGATTGCCATTCCCCCCGCGCCCCCACCAAGAGGCAAAGGCGGTAGGTCTGGGAGGGGATTCAAGAGTCTGTTTTTCTTTTTCTTCTTTAATTGTAGAAAACATCGAAGGCTTACAAGAGTAGAGAAAAAAGGAACTGAATCCCCAAGCTCCACCAAACAGCTCCCAACTATCGACTCTGGTCCCTCTGCCCAACACCATCCCTCACTGCACAGGAGCTTGGCAGCCACAGATATCTCAGCGTTCCTTCTAAAAGACAGACTCCTTTTAAAAACAGAACCGCAAAACAATTATTCACCTAAAATACAACACGAATCTCTTACAATCGTTAACGACCAAGGGATTATTCAAGTTTCCCCAAATATCTCATAAATGCTTTAAAATCTGCACTTTGTTGACTGTCTACCAAAGCATAATTTGAGTGCGGAAAATTTGCATGTGTAACAAGCTTCTTTGATGATTCAGATGGAGGCGGTCCAAGAGTCAAAAGTAGAGTGACCAGGTAGGGTGATCATTTATTCCCCTCCCAGGACACCTCTGAGAGTGAAAGAAAAAGCTAAACAGACACAAGGCACGTAACGGTGTGGTCACCTTGGCTCGGACCCCACCTGGAGAAGCCCTGTCCCCAGGAGGAGGCAACCTGTGGCCTGACTGAAATCCGGGAGCCGGTCGGTGGCAATGCCAAGCCAAAGGTGATGCCAGGCTGCCTGGCCCACTTACAGGGAGAGACTGGACAGTGGATGAGCACGGCCTCCCGACCACAGGCTCTCTGAGCTGCAAAGACTCAGCCTCGCCCAGGGCCCCCACATCCCAGCAGGACCCAGTACTCTGCATTGTCTTATGGAATGTTCCAGAACACTAGCTCTGAATGTGGTTTCTGTAAATCAGGTTTTATGTTTTCAATAATTCCACTACAAACCCAAAGACAAAGCTCCAACGGGAAAAATTCCAACCCCTTAACACGCTAAAATTCAGGTCCTGCCCACTATTATTTATGGACCTATCCACTAGATGCCAGAACTTGTCGAGGAATTCATGGTTCAGAAGTGAACAAAGTCCCTGATCTCAAAACATTTCTAAGTAGATCTACATCAAAAGCATGTAGGCCTCACACAGCTACCTGTGAAGCAAGGGTTCCAGGTGACCTGCCCCGGGCCACGTCCATACCAAGGTCCGCCTCTGTTAGTTCGGTTGTTTGAAACATGACTGCGGTCCCCAGAGAGCTCCCGAGCTTCCCCCAGGAAATGCCTTCTCCCCAGAAACCTACCAGGAATTCATTTTTAAATTCTTCTACATACTGCACAGTCCCATAAGGCATCCACCAGACTCAGGAGGCTCTCTACATTTACATTTTGATAAACTTAAATAAATGTAATTAAAAATTCAGTTTTTCCAGGGCTGGCCACATTTCAAGCACTCAGTGGTTACCTGTGACTAGCGGTTACTATACAGAACGGTACAAACGTGAAGCATTTCCATCGCTGCAGAAAGTTCTAGTGGATGTGCTGCTCCTCAACGACCCACTCTCCAACAACCTGTTACGTGACACGTCCTTCAACTTTATTTCGACAAACACTCGGCACTCCTACAAGGGGCCTACAGTGATCCTGCGATTAAGCCACACAACAGAATGCAAACCTAAACTTGGGCGAACAGTGGAATAATCCAACAGCTGCCTTCGGCTCCCTCGAAGGTCAAGGTCATGTTGGCCAAGTCTTTAACCTCTGAGAGCCTCACTTTCCTCATCTGTAAAATAACAGAGCTGGGCTGGAGGACTCTAAGAGTCCTTCTGAGTCTGACATTCTAGAACTCTGAGTCCAACGAGGAAAATGTAATTCACTGACTACACATTAATTAATAACTCAAAAAGAAAACCAACAGGAAAACGCTCTTCTGAGACTTTAAAATGCTGTCCCAGAACCTGCATCTGTAGGGCTGGATCAAAGGAAGGAGGGAACAGCATCCCACAGTGGCCTGGCGTCCAAAGTTCAGGTTCTCAAAGGTAAAGGGTTCCCTTTGGAGCTCACATTTGCAAATGCCCAGCACAGTGCCAAATGTTTTAATCTTCACAGCAACCCTAAAACAGGCGCAATTATCCAATTCACAGATAAGAAGCCTGGGCCCAGTGAGGTTAAGGAGCGTAGCTACACACCTGCAAGAGAGGGGGCTGGGATTCAAACCCAGGCTGTCGGCCTCCTGAGCCTGTGTCCCACATTTTGGACAAAAAAAAAAAAAAAAGCTACCACTTCCTTACAATGAGCCAGTCATTCCAGCAGGCGCTAGATGCACTTTCTTTTCTTAAACACTCAGAACAACCCATGAGAGCATGGGGGCACAGAAGGGTTAGGCAGCCAAGTGGCAGAAGCGGAATTCACACCCAGGCCTAGGACTGCAAAGGTGGCTCTAACCACCGCCCTCCCCAGCCTTTAGAGCCCCTATCCATCTTGGATACCTCCTTCCTGGGCCCAAAGCACTTGACCACTCTTAATTGTCCAGGATGGTGGGGGTTTGGGCATCTTCTCCTTGCCTGAAACCCCCTTGGGTAGGGACCAAATTTTCCAGGTCAGTATCCCTCCCTCAGGGAACTCTGCTCCTTGGAGGCATCTGGTGAAACTCATTAAATTCATGGGCTCCGCAGTCCTAGGCCAGGAGGCTCCTTTTTCAACACAGGGTGTCAGCTCAAATGTCCTTAAAGGGCTCCCCACCCTGGTGAGTCCATTCTTACATGTCGTGAGGTTTCTCTGGGCCAAGCCCTTGTGATCACGGCCCTCATCACAGGTGCCCCATCTCCACCCCCCACCGGCAGTTATGCTGGGCACTGGAGGCTCACCTCAGGCAGGTATCCTGCACAAGTGACCCACAGCCAAGGTGGCCACTCAGGAGACAATATGCAATTGTGAATATGCAAGGGGGAGCCCTGAAAGCATGATGGGTAAGAAAAGCCCACGCACGGAAGCATCTAAAACTATCCAAAATCGATCGACTCTTGCAAACTGTGTTTATTGATAATTATTTTTCAAATTTAATTTATTGGGGTAGCACTGACTAACATTATCTAAATTTCAGATGCTTTTTTCTATTTCCTTTTCATAATGATTACTTTTAATTTACTAAACTAAATGTATTAACATTGGCTAATAAATTTCAGGTGTTTTTTTTATTTTTAATAAGTATTATTTTTTAAATTAAATTTATTGGGGTAACAGTTAATAACATTATGTAGATTTCAGGTGAGAAGCCGCTTTTAAAAGATAATATGTATTGACTGACTATTCATCATCCCCATGAAGTAAATAAACGCACGGCCTTCCACAGATAAACTGAAATCAGTATCTCCTTTTTGAAGGGAGCGCAGTGGAAAAAACACCAGTCTGGAAACAGACCTGGTAGGCGCTGCCACTCAGGCTCTAGTGGCTGAATGAAATTACAAAGGCTCTGGGTATCCAGAACTCAATTACCCTCTCCACACACAGGGAGCAGTGGAGATCCCTGCTTCCCATCTGGGAAAGCTGGACGGAACCAAGTCAAATGAGAGATGTACAAGCCCTCTGCAACAGATGAACCCCAAGGTCACCTAGTCAATGCAGGCAGAGCCTGATGGAAGGACCTGATTCCAGGCTTGTCCGTCTCAAGTATCAGCTACTTCTATCATTGCTGCCCACGAACTAGGAGTGAGTGGGGCCAAGACCGCCACACAGCCGATAATAACAAGGAGAATAGAGCAAGGCTCCCCCAAAGATTTCCTCTCCCTAGAAAAGTCAAAACTGGCCTTAATGTCAATAAAGGCTCTGGACTAGGCCAGAAAGGGGGGTGCAGGCAAGGCGTCCCACTGATCTAGCACTTACTCTTCTTCCAGAGAGATGTCACCGTCCACAAATGTGTGGCACTCCTCCCAAACAAGAAGCAGTGCATCAAACAGGACGGGGCCTGTTGCAGGCCACAGTGTGTGGCCTTCCCACACTTGCCCTTACTTAGCTCACGCACGCTCGAAGACCAGCGTGCCCTGCTTCCGATTCTGCCCAAAGGAATAGAGAGTAACCTTGAAGCTGCCCTCCGTCCTCCGGTGGGAAACGGGCCCGCTCCCGATCTGCCGCTTCCTCTGGGGGCCTCCATCTAACCCATCTAACCGGCGCCCGTGGAGGAAGACAGGGGTGGTCCGCTGAGAACCGTTTTCCCCCATTGTGTGAGATGCTTCCACGCTCAACGGACCGTTCCCTCTTCTTAGCAGTAAACTATTAGAGGGGAAGGGTATTTTCTGCTCTTCGGGTGCACACTGACTCCTCCCAAAAACCGAGACGGTGCACTGAAAGGGACTGTACACCTGCAGCCCGCGCCCGATGGGCTCGCCGGACGCCGGACTCCGGACGCCAACCCGCCAGCTGGTTACCTGCGTCCCACATCTCGGGGCGGGGGCACGGTTGGATTTGCACCACCGCCCAGAGAACGACCCCGAGTTAGGGAGCTCAGTGGGACCTGGGCCGGGGCTCCAGAGTGCTGGGGGGACCGGCGGGGCGGAGCTGGGCGGGGCGCGGGGGGCTACCCTCCGACCCCCGCCGGGAAAGGGC